GTCATGGCACCTGCCTTAAAGATTTGTGCAGTTCTGAAATTTCCTTAATTTTTTAAATAAATGTGTAATTGACATCTTAGCTTACTACCTAGTACATTGGTTTTCAAATGTTCTCAGCAGAAGAACCACCTATAACCGCATCCTGACCGAGGCCTCTTGTCCAATAAACGTCCAGATACTGAATACCTTAACAGTACCGTGTATTTGATACGGCCTCCTGACACTTTCCTAAGGCCCCCGACACAACTTGGCATGGTCAAGTGCTTAGGGCGCTTGACTCCCAATCTGAGGGTCGCGGGTTCGAATCCCCGTCCCACCAAACATGCTCGCCATTTCGGCCGTGGGGGCGTTATAATGTGACGGTTAATCGCACTATTCGTTAGTAACAGAGTAGCCCAAGAGTTGGCGGTGGGTGGTGATGACTAGCTGCATTTCCTCTTGTCTTTCACTGCTAAATTAGGGATAGCTAGCGCAGATAGCCCTCGTGTAGCTCTGCGCGAAATTCAGACCAAACCTAAGGCCCCCGGTTTGAAACTTCCTGATAATACATACTTTTAGCATGTTTTATATTGAACATTTTATGCATCTCTTCATTCACAATTAATAAAAAAAATGTTTGATTTATTTTACTATAATACAACTATGAAGACTTTTTTTACTAGATAAATACATATTTCACGTTACAGAAGGGCGATAGCTGTGCCCAAATTGGCTACCTGACCTACTATTGTATATTATTCTTGTTTGTAGCATTAAAACGCAGAGAGAAGGCTGAGCCCCAGGCTTACCCGAAAATTTGTTTTGGCAATTGGAATTTATTATCATTATTTCAACCTCAAAAAAGTACCATGCCCAACTCACTGTTGACGGCCTGCTTAACTTAGAGCGTTACCACATTACAACTGAAAACAAAACCCAATTACTCACCATATTAACTCCGCCTATTTGTTTATGTAAGTAACATTGCCATGCACTGATGTATATAGATAAGTTACTGCATGTCTGTTTCACGTGTATCGAGTGTGCTGCTCGTACTAGGAAGTCCCTGGACAACATTAGCATATTCATTTTAGAGCAAAGGAACTGGAGCCAATATTACAAACAGACTTTTCTATGAAATCAGTTTTCGATTCAGGTAGTTCAGTACCAAGTACTTGAGGTCGAGAGTTTACCATATAAGCAAGATCATTAGACTAGGCCTAACCTAGCTGTTAGAATGCTGGGCTGCGTATTCCGTAATTTCAGTTGTGGGTGCCATATAAATGTCACATTCAATCCCGTTATTTGACCCAAAGTACCAGACAAGAACCTCCTTTTGGCAGGAAATGGGGTAACTGGCTTCTTTCCCTCTAGTCAGTAGTTCAAAATTATAGACAATCGTACCCGAGCACTAGGAGTCTCTTGATCTGCTATATTAAGATAAGCGTTGCACGAAGTACAGGTAGAAAATTCCAGTTTCCAGCAAGAAAATTAATCAAGGGCACATGTTGCAAAGAAATTCTGATCATATTCTCTAGAATAATGTCAGTCTTACTGACGAAATACTTTTAGAGGATGTAGATTTATATTCTACAGATTGTTTTTGGATAAAGCTACTCAAGAATCCTTGTGCTGGCCTCTGAATAACACCCACCGTCAGCTTTTGGGGCACTTTTGTCTAACCGAATAGTGGGATTTGACAGTCACACTTATAACGCACCCACTACCTGAAATTGTAGGCGAGATTTTTTTTTGTTTTTGGACGATAAGGGGACGCGAACATTGGACCCACAGATCGGCACGCCCATTACTGGGCCATGCTTACCCCCATTATTCTACATAACTAAAAACCAATAAAACTGATTAAATTACGTCAGTTGTTTTGTGCTTGTACCACAGAAACCAGGCCCGACTCCGGCTTCTTCCCCTTAGTGGTGGGGCAGTGGAGCTTTTGTTGTCTTTTCTTAGCGACTTAAAAATCATACTATTTTAGAAAATGAAAAATACGATTTGTCAAACCGCTGGAGAAAGAGAGTGAACTTGGGTGGGTGAGAGTAAGTAAAATTTGGGGGTGCACTACCCATCCCAGCAACTCTCCTAACGCCGGCCCTGATACATACTATGAATGTCGTCATCTTTAAGTTATGTTGTACACGCAAAGTGGCACGCGCTTATGAAGGCCTTGGGGAAATAATACCCCCCCAGCTCAATCTTACTAGTGTTAAATAAATAATAATACACCCCCAGCTCAACCTTACTAGTGTTAAATAAACAAAATAATACACTATATTATATCCAAATAAAACGATTTTTCCGATTGTTTCATATAATATTACGGCGGGAGTTTGATGTGTGTAAGGGGGCGCGGTTGGAGGTCTTTAATTGTTGGTTCGTAGGGGAGGCGTCAAAGACTGCCGCACTGCTGCCCCAGTTGCAAAAGTCTACCAAGCAGGCTTCTCGGGCCCGGCATGGCCAGGTGGTTAGGGAGCTCGACTCGCAATCTGTGGGGTCGCGGGTTCGAATCCCCGTCACACCAAACATGCTCGCCCTTTCAGCCGTGGGGGCGTTATAATGTGACGGTAAATCCCACTATTCGTTGGTAAAAGAGTAGCCCAAGAGTTCGCGGTGGGTGGTGATGACTAGCTGCCTTCCCTCTAGTGTTACACTGCTAAATTAGGGACGGCTAGCGCAGGTAGCGCTCGTGTAGCTTTGCGCGGAATTAGTAACAAACCATTTTTAATTTTAGTATCTTAAATATTTTGTCTGCTGAATAATTCAAAAGAGGCAACTAGTAGCACCAAAGTTACTACATATTCTTGAATCCCTATACAAACGTAGGTTGATTGTGGTGACTAGTAGCACCAATGTTACTACATATTCTTGAATCCA